AAGCCATGTGTATTTCTGCCTTTAAATCACTTTAATTTTTTTCCTCACAAAAATGAAGAGTTTGGTTCCAGAGCTACATACAGTTTCAGTAGGGGTGGTTTGGTGGGTGCTCTTCTCCAAGAAGCTTATCCTTCCTGTGCATTTCTGTAATGATCTCTTTCTGTCATTATGTGTTTTTGACAGGGCCTCTCACTCTAGCCCTGGCTGGCCTGGTGCTCACAGTTGACTGGGTCCTGTTCTATCAACCAGGATTCAAGATAATCCCTCATAGTTAACGTTCAAAGACCGTCCTGATCTGGGCAATTCCTCAGCTGAGGCTTCTCCTTTTCAGATGACTCTAGATGGTGTCAAATTGGCAGTTAAGGTTAACCATGACAGTCGTGCAGGCTGGTCTTAAAGTCACAGTGACCCTCCTGCCTCAGCTTCCCAAATTCTGGGATTATAAGCGTGAGCTGCTCACTTCTGACTATGAAACCCTCCTTCAATCATTACTGGGTTCTCAATAAAAATGAATCATTAAATTGTTTACATTGAATTTCCAGTTCTCTGAGTTGGCAAGACATTTTTGTGGTTTCCACCGTTAATGGGATTTATAGTAGAAACTTGGTAAATAATTCATTTTGTTTTTGTTCTTGCCTTTTTAAAAAAAAATGAGAACCCAGCAGGGCAGGAATATTGCACAGGCTATTTCATTTCTGAATTTTTAGCAGTTCGAATGTAATTCACAGAGAAGGAGTTAAAAAGAAAGTCTGTAATTGTTGATCACAGTTAGCTCAAATAGCCCTCCCTAAAAGATAATTAGCTTTTGGAGTGATTCCAAATGGCTTCTTTGTTGCTTATATTTGCAAAACATTTTTCCACTGCTATGTCCGTATCTCAGAGAGTACTTAAAGAGTTTGCTAGCTACATGATCAGAATCCGTACAAATTGGAAATCAGTGACTGCTTCTCATCTGTGATTTACTCTGTTCTCATTAAGATTATAACTTAAAACAACATGAATCTTAATTTTCCTTTAGTTGGTACAACATTGCAATCCTAGAAGACAAGCAAGGGGGGGAACTTGCAGGGCAAAGCAAACGTGGACTTCAAGTAAGAAGCCCTCCGTAGTTAGCAAACATCCTGTGAGCCAAAGGGGGCTAGAAATAAGATGTTGGAGCAGTTCTTTCACCTCCCTCTATTTAAGGTTTTTATCATGAAAGATATCAGATACACACCGAAGTGGAGAAGGTGGTATGCCCACACCCACGTAGTGGTCGGTTGGCGCACTCACAGTCCTCAGCCGTCTGGTCCATTAGCATCCACCCTTTCTTCTCTTCTGTGCCTGGTCAGTTATATTGAAGCAAATCCTAAACCATGACTTTGATAAACTCAACTAGTTTATTTCTCATGGTGTTTTCCCATTATATAACATTATCACACTTTAAAACCTAATGGTGAGTCTCTGTATCCAGCACTATTATCCATTAATACTATAGTTTTTCCCAATTATATGATAAAAGCTTAGTTTAATAGTGGTTTCCTTGAACAAGCCTCTTTCTCAGTTACTTTTCCTAGTGCTGTGTTAAAATTCCCTTACAAAAGCAACTTAAGGGAGAAAGTTTGTTTCCGCTCCGAGTTCCAGCGTACAGTCCATTATGGTGAGGAAGCAACAGTGACTGGAGCTTGGGGCAGCTGATCAAACTGGGACCAGGAAGTGGAGAGCTGTGACTGCTCAGCCTCAGTTCTCCTTCATATTTAGTCCAAGTCTGAGGCCGAGGGAATGCTGATACTCACTATTAGATTGGGTCTTCCCACTTCAGTTCACCTTATCAGGTAATCTCATAAGGTACGCCAAGGGGCTAATCTAATTTAAATAATTCCTCACAGATATGCCTGGAGGCCTCTCTCGGGTGATTTTAGATCCTGTCAAAGTGGCAATCAGCCATCATAGTACATAAATAGATTCTGTCCTCTGGGAGGTCTCTTAGGCCATTCTTAATTTATGTATGCCCCCCATTACCATATGCATGTTTAAGAAACTAGCTCATTGGTGCAGTGATTTCTCCCACATCCTGGGCATTCTGTCCCCAACATGTCATGTAATGTGTTCTGATGGTTCTTGTATGTATTCTGTATTAGTAGTTGGCTTTAGAACTGGTTCAAATTCAAGATTTTGTTTCTGTCATGTTTTCTTTTACAAGATTATTTCATCATGGGTCTGAATAAGCTTTCTCTCTCTAAGACATTAAAATGAATTAGTGAGCTCTATGTATCTGATTAGTTTTATTGTTGTTTGAGACAGGGTCTCTCACTCAGTAGATACCCTAGCATGGCCTCTGACCCAGAGCTATCTTTCTGCCTCAACCTCTTGAGTGCTGGGGCTATAGGCACTTACCTGATCCCTCCATCATATAGTGCCACTAACCTAATATGCTTAGCAGTCATTGATAGCTATTCTATATATATTTATTTCAAATGGAAAATATTTTAAGCAATTTTTAAGAGGAGGGTGTAAATGACAACTGCTTTGTCTGTGAAATGTGTGGCTCAGCATCCACCAGTCAAGCCATGCAGAGACTTTCCACTGAACTGGAGGGAGGAGCATCGTGCTCCCATGCAGAGAAAGCAGTACACAGTAATGCTGCTGGTTTGCTGTGAGATAGCATTCTCAGGTAACAGCACATAAGCCCAAGACTTAAGTGGATTCGGTCTTTACTATTTGTTTATTAGCATTTCATTAAGAATTACAGGGGAGGGGAGTAGTGGGAACTACTGTTGAGGCCGTCCCACTCCCACCTGTTTCTGTGTAAGAATCTGAGAGTGTTTTTCCTCATTGACATGGGGGATTTCTCACTGCAAAAGAAGGGATGGAAGAGGTGGTGGGAGAGGCAACTGGAGTGACTGGGTTGATGGGTTTCACACTAAAGTGACACAGCCATGGAACTTGTATTAGCTGCTTTTCCTGTTGCTGTGAGGAAAGTACTGGACAAGAAAAACTTGAGGAATGAAAGAAGGAAGGGTTTGTTTTGGTTCACATTTTGAGGGAATGGTCCATCATGGTTGGAAGGATGTGGTGGCAGGATTGTTAGGCAGCTGGTAAGCCTGCAGTCATCATCAGGAAGCAGGGAGAGATGCATGCTGGTGCTCAGTGTAATTTTTCCCTTTTACTCAGTCTGGTACCCAAAGCCCATAGAATGATACATCCCAAATTCAAGATGCATATTACTACCTCATTTAAATTCCTGTAGAAATGTCCTTCACACACATCCACAAGCATGACTCCCCAGGGAGTCTAAATCCTGTCAAGTTCACAGAAGGTAACACAGAAACTCTGCTCTAACCTCTGTGCCACTCCAAGAATCCCTTCTGAGGGGAGGGCTTCTCTTTGGGCCCTGTACTCTTATGACATTCGTCTTACTTTTCCCTGTTCTTTCAGGGTATATCATTTGTATTATTGTATTTATAGTCCTTTGAGAAAAGGTGTTTGTTACCTGTTTCCATTTAATTGCATATGGGTGTCATAAGCAAACTCGGTTCTCCATCACTTACAGTGGTAAGAACAGGTTTTATTTAGTAACTGTTGACAATAGGGGGAAGATTTGAGTCCATTCTAATTTGCATGAAGGTGTCATCTTTATCTGCTTGCTGGCAGTTACTAAGTGAGAAGCCTGTCCCCCACTGCACTGGAGACAGATGCCTTGGCCTTCCTCATTGGTTGGAGTTTCAAGCATGGCTCTTAGGTCCTAGAGAATGATAATTCTGGGTTTGTTTGTTTGTTTAATACAGGCATGTGTGCATGTGTATATGCCTGTGGGTATAGGAATAAATGTGTGTTTGGAGGCTAGAGGTCACCTTCTACCTTAGAAACATTGTCTACCTCCATTGAGATGGGGGTCTCTCACTGCACTCATTAGGTTTTGCTGGCTGTATATAGAGCTCTGGTGATTGCCCTGTTTCCACCACACCAGCACCTGTATTAACTATGCCTGACTTTTTAAAGTGGATTTTGGGGATCAAATTCGGGTCTTCATGCTTGTGTGTCAAGGATTCTGCCTGCTAAGCTGTCTCCTTCACTCCAGTATTTAAGGTCTACACAGTCAAAATCCTAAACCCCTTTTATACAAAGTCTATGAGGGATGCTTAGAGAGGCCTGTTGGGTGTTGACTAGAACAAAGAACAAATTCTCTGCTCAGCCATTCAGAAACTCAGGCAAGCATTTTAATGGAGATTGGGGTGGTGGATGTCTCTGGGTGTGGCTTTGTGGAGCTAGAAGCCATGTGGCAGTTGCTTACCTCCTCGTGCAGAGGTTTGAATGTATCTGTGCTGAGAGCCCTGAAGTTCTCAAGAACCTTGGGTGTCGCTTAATGACTGTGTAGGCTAAGTGAATTTGGGTAAACTCACTTTCCTCTAACCCCAAAGAAGATGTTCAAGTAGAATGCCATCTACTTCACCTCAGAGCCTTGTCCTAGGCAGGAAGTGGGGGTAAGAACCTACCCGGTGTCTCCCTGCCCCTATATCCCCTACCCTACCAACTGTGAATAAGAGATTTAATATCTCTACTACAAATACTTTACTTTCTGAAATAGTCTAATGTGGATCAATCTACTATCAAGATGATGAGATATTTTCAAATATATTGTAAGATTCTGGACAATAACAAGATGAGACGATCTAAGAGACAGGGTTTCCTACAAAGCAAGAATGTGTTTGCCATTTACCTTCATCAGGGTTTCCTATTGCATTTATCCCATGTTTTGTGTATTTACTTGTGTGGTAAGTTTAAATATCTTCCATGGGAACTATGTCTTGTTTGCATTCTGTTGAAGTCAGCACCCAACACAGTGGCTAGAAGCTGTGAGACAAGTTCCCAGATAATCAGTTTAGTAGACAGTTTGATGTCTTTCCCTGTCTTCCTCTACCACAAACAATGACAGAACAGACATGCTATTTCCTAGAACTGTGGTAAACAAGTGTTTGCAAAATGTGGGAAGTTGTATTTCACAACTGTTCTCTTCATAGGTTCCTTACCTATGCCTACCTCCTGGCCTTCAATGTATGGCTTCTGCTGGCACCCATCACCCTGTGCTACGACTGGCAAGTGGGAAGTATTCCTCTGGTGGAGACCATATGGGATGTGAGGAACCTTGCTACTATCCTTCTGGCAGTGGTGATGGCCTTACTGAGCCTACACTGCATGGCAGCCTTCAAGGTAATCTCTAAGAGCAAATGGATTCTCATATTGAAAACAGACCATCTCTGTCACTATTGCTTCTTTTTGTAATGGGGGTCTGGGTCAAAATCACATGTTACTCACAAAACTTTGCAAATTAAGTTTTCCTAATAGGTAATAAGTATTTAAAAGTCTTTAGCAGGGCTAATAGAACATGCCCATCTTAATTTTATCATGTCTTTATTTAAAAGATTTATTTTTATTTATGTGTATATGTATGTGTCTCTGTGTAGGTATACCATGTGTGTATAGGTGCCTGTGTCGGCCAGAAAAAGGTGTCAGATCCCCTGGAGCTGGAGGTATAGGTGGTTGCGAGCTGGCTGACTGGGTGCTGGGAACCAAACTCTACTCCTCTGGCAGAATAGCAGTTGTTCTTAGCCACTGAGCCATTTCTCCAGCTCTGTATAATTTCTTTCATTATGTCTAGATACTTTGTAACAGTAAAAATTTCCTCCTGGAATGGTTAGCTAATATTTGAAGGAATTTATTTGATATAATGTCATAATAAATAAGATACTTATAAATGTTTAAGGTATGATTGAGACTCCATATCCACTTAAATTTGATGGTTCCTTCTTCAATCAGAAAAAAAATATAAAACTGGACAAAATTATTAACTTCAATTATTTAAAAAATGATCAAAACTAGAAAATATTGATTGATGGGAAATTGCCACTACATTGATGACATGCCTCTCATCTGGGTTATTCTCATCCTCCCAGACCTGGTGGTAAAAATTCACAAGTCTCCTGGTTGGAAGTAGCTGAACTGTAGAAAAAAGCAAAAGCACCTAGAATTTTTGTTTGTTCAATGCTTTGAGACAGTGACTCATGTCGCTCAAACTGGCTTTGAACTCTGTTTTGTCTGTGGATGACCTTGAGCTCCTGATCCTCCTGCCTCCATATCCTAAATCCTGGGATTACAGGCAAGTATTACCATGACGGCTAGCAGCTAGGATTCAAGGGGGGGGGTTGTATAAGTGAGAAAGCTGTAGAAGGCTGCCCGAAAGCCTCTCCACGCCTTCACGGTGACTGCTAGGTCATTATATGCAAATATGAAACTCTGGAAAGAGACTTGTTTGGGGCAATTCTGAATGAACTCTTCCCACGCACATAGGTTCAGCAGTGGAGAGCAAACATTCACTAATCTGATTTATCTCTGTATAATTTTTGTTCAAATCATTGGCTGCCACAAAACCAGCCAGGCACAGCAGAGATGATATCCAGAGATCCACACAGAAACCAAAACCAAAACAAAGAAACAATAGCAACAATTTTAAAATTTTGACCAAAAATCTCAGCATTCTCAAAACATGCAGGGCTGGGAGACGACTCAGGTGTTATAGTGCCTTCGGTGAAAGTACGAAGACCTGAGCTTGGATTCCAGGGCTGCTGTGGCATGTGTCTGTTGTATTGTCACTAGGGAAATGGAGACAGGAGGACCCCTGGATTTGCTGGTCAGACATGCTAGTCAATCAGTGACATATGTTTTATTTCTCTTGGGCGTATTGCTGATTCATGTAAAAGTTTGATTTTTAACTTTGTGCAGACTGTCCCTGCCCATGCAATGGCTGACCTGTGTCATATCCCACCCGTTAGTGTCTCCTCCTTCAGTGCTGTGTCTCCCTCCTCCCTCTCCTCTCCTCCCTTTCTTCTCTCCCCATCTTCCCTTTTCCCCTCTTCTTCCTCCTCCTCTGTATTTGTATTCTCCAGGTAGACATTCAAGCTTCTGTTACAGAATATGGAGAACAGTCTAGAATTTTTTCATCATTGGCTCAAGGTCTTTCCAACAAAAATTTAAAGTAAAATGGTTTCCTCAACAACAAATTTTAAAGTTATTAATTTTCCCTCACATGGTGAGATAGTCCCTCTGAAGGTATGTCTGTACAGGAGAGATGAAGGGTGTTCCATCCATGAAGGAATTTACCCCAGGAGAATCATGGGCTTTTCTTTGTGGCTTGTACAAACTTTACATCGTCGGAAAAGCACCCTTCTGACATGGTGTGTTTGGGGGGCTTCTTTCCTCTGGGCCTCCTCCCAATAACTTCCTTCCAATGACCTGTCCTCTAAAATGGCCTCACTGAGTGATGGGAAATGCTGCCCAGTGGTTTTCGGGAGTAATGTGTTTGATATGGGCTCTTCATGTTATCCTCACAGGTCTTCTTGAAATTTTAAGGACTTTTACTGACTTTTACAGCCTTGCAGCATCCCTATAGAAGGAAAACCGCATAAAAAGAGGAGGAGGAGAAAAGATGGTCACCTGGCTTGGCTGATGGCCTCACAATGACAAAGATTGGTCATGAAGTAGAGGTTCCAGCCTCCTGCCCCTGCTCTGAGCATGGGCCTCTAGGGGTTTTTAATTTTCTTTTCTGGAAGAGGCCATAGGTTTGTGCCTATTTGTGTATCTATCTCAGTTTCCTGATGATTTCTTGAGATCAGTTCAAGTCACAGCTGCAGCTCTGAGTCCTGGAAAACAAACCTAGTCCTCAGGTCCTTAGGGGGATGACACTGTAGCTGCAGTCCTGTAGCAGTGAAAGTGCCTGCAGTGAGGACTGGAGGAGGCAGACTGGGGAGGGAAGCCCTGCACCCCTCACCTGAAGAGGTGGCTACAGTCACTCCTGGGACTTCCTTTAGTGTCCGTTCCTAGCCTTTCTTTGCTTCTTGCTAGTCCACATCACAGTCCTCACCTCTCTACTCCCCAGAGAGTAGTCACCTAGTGTGCAGAGGTTCCCACCTAATGTCTCTGAGCAAGGCCCCCATTCTCAACCAGGAGGCAAGGCTAGAGTACAAAAGTGGTTATCTGCACATGGACATCCCAACCTCATTGAGAACAGGATTCAGAGCAGTCAAGTGGACACACACACACACACACACACACACACACACACACACCCCAAAGAAGGCACATCTTGCTGTTGCTTTTTCCTATTTTAAGGAACAAGATATTTGAAGTGTTGCTGCCCGTGTGATCTGTCACAACTCTATCCTTGAAGCATAAATTAGGCAACCCTGCGGCATAAAATTGTTATACCATAGACCCATACCGTTGAACTAGGCATAATTCCAGATGGCTAGAAATTATTTTGCATTTTGCTCATCAGAATAACAGACTATCATATTATAGTGACACGTGGATCACTGGGTTCTAGAACGTTCCTTACAAAACCTGATGAATTGAGCATCGTGTTTTAATACAGTGAGTGGCAAAATAGCAGTGAGCTTGGAGGATGAAGATGGCGTTAACAGTGAGTGGTCTGCGCCCACGCTGCTTTTTCCTTCCCCTCCATTGGCTTGTATCTGTTTAGTTCCCATTCTCTGCACGCAGCACTTCCCATTCACATTTTCTTAATTCATAGAAAGTCCTCACAGGATAACAGGGACTCCGTCTTTCTAGATAGTGTGTTTGGGGCCTCTTGGTAGTTGAGGTTCTAAACTGTGCTGCCAAGGTCCCATGTGTGAGGTCAGCTCCAAAGTGGTCACAGCCAGGGCAGCTTTCCGGCCTGTGTCTCTGCTGGCTCCTCCTTCTGCCGCCATGTTACCATGGCCACACTGACCTTGGGCCGAAGGTTTCTACCTCAGTAGCTATCTTCCAGATTTGCCCTGGACCAGCACTACAGACCTGGAATTTCATTTGTAACCTTTTTCTGAAATGAATTTGAAAGTAAACTTACCCTCTCCTCTCATCCAGTGTGGGGAGAGACACGTGTTGCTGTGGAGCTTAATCAAAGACCCTCTGCTGCTCTCCGGCCTCATTTCATGTTGTTGCATTGCTGTTGCCGTACGTGATAAAGATGTGGCTTCTCTTGTGTGATTCTAATTTTATATGGTAATCACACTTTAAATTCATGGCCACACAGCCCAAGTGAAGCCTGGCCTCTGTGCTGGAGGTGTAAGAGGAGAGCTACCTCAAGTCCTAGGCCAGGGTTGGTGATGAGCTTGCTGTTCCTCACCTGTGTCTGTTCCCCTCCCCTCCTGCACCATGCTGTGAGGTCAGACCAGGGCACCCACGACCTCTGACACGGCACAGTAGCCCTCACAGGGGAACAATGAATACATTCCAGCCATTTGCAGAGTCTGGTCATTGTCATGGTCACCATCATCCTGAAAGTGTTGCAGCTCAACTCCAGGAGTACAAAAGGGCTCCTGTGTATAAACAGCAGAATTAATAACAAAGAGAACCACTGACCCATGCTTGCTCAAACAGTGAGAATGTATATAAAGTTATTGTTATTTATGAGCATCAACCCTCTCCCTCTTACCCAGCTCCCTTTATCCCCAGTGAAAGAGAACATCTTTAAATTCTAACAACCGCTCTCTGCCCTTTATTGTTACATGGGTTACTTTTCTCTTCACACTGACAAACTTAAGGGAGAAAAAATCCACAGTTTGGATATACAGTCCATTATGGCCCAGCTGTGGCAGCAAGGCAAATCTGCCTGCTCACATCTGGACAGATCAAGGGGCAGAGATGGGGTGAGAAGATTAGCCAAAGTCCTCCACCCAGCAAAGCACTTCCTCCAGCTGGACTCTGCCTTCTAAAGTCTCAGCTTCCCAGAATAGCTGAGTTGGAACACTTGAACCTGTGGGTGACATTCCCAATTCAGATCGTATGACAGGACCACTCCAGATGTGTATAGAGTCTCTGTGTTCAGATGTCACAGAAGGGCAGGAGCAAAATCACTAGTTTAACTGTATGTGAGGTGGCACTGTAAAGAAACTGCCAACATGACCATCCCATGGTATGATTAAGGGAAAGGTTTTTATTGTGCATAAGAGAGAGAAAATATTCAGAGGCATCTGGAAGAGTCCAGAGTAAAGAAAAAAGAAAGCAGACTAGACATGGTCAGGGCTGTATTCGAGAGAAAAGGGAGAATAGCAGAAAGAGAGCATATCGCAATTGGGGGCGGGGAGACTAGTGAGAACAGCGTGTATAGCCAAGGACAGAGGGTATAAAGAGAGCAAGATATGAAGTGAAGAGGG